TTGATTTACCATCATATATATATATACCGTTATATACCACTATAGTATCAGATGAACATAAACTAACAGAACTCTGGAAGATCAACATTTTAATGGCAAAACTATTTCTATGGCCATGGCTTCAATAGCGAACTGTTAGTTTACCAGAGGGTACACCTTGTGTTCATAAACCATGGGTTATAACGTTTATAAATCCGGAGTTCACATTGCATATGTCATGGTTTGCTCACCATCTGAATCGGGCTCAATCGGAGTTGCGGAACCGCAGGCAATGAACTGCAACTGCTGAAAAATATACACCAGTTACATCTACCATCATCAGCATCTACCATTGTTTACCCTGACCGGGTCTTCCTATGGAAGACAACATGTGGAAACTCTTATGGTCTTATGGTACGCTCACTGGGTTGATGAAAGGGACATCTACTGGAAGCCTATCGATTTTTCCCCTGAAAGATCGGGGGGTCCTGTAAAGGAACAGTTAGTGAACAATTGTGAACATTTATTCGGCTACATGTGCAGAGTCTTCCTGTACACTGTCAATTGAAGTAGAGTACCTAGAAAAAATGAGAGAACTGGGGAACTGTATAATGAATGCACACGTTTATTTTCACGATGTTCATAATGCAAATTATCACCTTGATACCGTTTAATGAAAAGTCTGGCAAATTAATCATGGATTGTAGTTGATTTCAATGTAAACTTTGAGACAATGTTCGTTTGACCAGATCCGGAAGCCGCTGCTGTTCAGCTGTTGCTACTGGCTGAGCAGGAGGGTTGGGTTTGACCGGTAAAAAAACGGTGGTTTCACCAACAATAATGGGGAATAATGGGGATTTATAAATATATATATATATTTATTATATATTATATATACACTATACTCAATGTATATAACCAACAATATGATCTGGATGGGTGTGTCTGAACACGGTTCATCCCCCGCAAAAACATGGCAATCTTCATAGAGCGATGGCCCACCAACAGATCTAGGAGTAGCCTACTAGACAAAGCGGCTTGAGCAGGTTCTCTTGGTTGATTATGTCTTAAGACGGTTATACTACCCTTCATATGGATTTGTCTGAAAAAAGGGTATACGACCATTTGCCAAAAATAGTTGACATAAGTTTTGTACTATATAGTTGTTGATAATTAGTGTGAATCTAGTGTTTTTTCCTCTTCGTTATGAGGCGGCAAGCAACTACATTCACCAATTCTGCAAGGCAGCGCTAGCAAACCCGCTAGGTCTGCACTAGTTATTTTTAACATCCATGTTCAAAGATGTTTGTATGTGTTGCCTACTGTTTGGTATTTCAACATGAAGAAAACATAAACTGTAACTTAGCGCCTTCAACCATCTTAAACCTAAGGATGCCTTAGCGAATTTCTGTGCTACTCAACCATTTTCCTATGTTTTTAAGTTTGTCGTTCAATTTTGGGAATTGATGCGTAATTTTACCCGCTAGATCCCCGCTAGCAATGCGCTAGCAAAAGTTGCAAAAAGCGGCTTTGGCTGACCCGTGACCCCGTCGCCGTTAGAGAACTTAAGTTTATCCTGTCTGTTTAACAAAAACAACAGTACCAACAAAAACAACGACAAGCCTTGCAGCAGACAAACAATTCTTGAATTTCCACGACTAATGATTAGCAGCGGCACCCACTCCATATAGATGTGCATTAGCATTTCCTGCAGGTTTTAGCTTCGGTTTCAAACATAAAAGATAAAATGCAGGGTTTCAGACTATTTGGATAAGTTGTATTTTTTAAAATTCAAAGATGAAGCGGCACGCATGGAATTACGATTTATAAACCAAACCAGACAAAGACATTTTGACAAACCGTCAAATATGCACCAATGTAATTTTAATGTGAACACATAAACATTTATTATATAAACATCAAATTTCTGGGTATCCTATTTGCAGACAAACCCATATTTTGGGGATGATCATAATCATGATCCATGAGCTAGCAAGCCACATTTTCACCAACCATTCGAAAGGATAAGTTATCATAAGTAATTATGATTTTTGGTGTGTTTCGAACCAGTGATTTCCGGGTGATAAACTTGCCAATTTGCGATAGACGGATAGATGGTATTATTAATACGGGATGCTTTTGGGGACCCTAAAGAATCCACCAGCCACCAGAGAATTATCACACCTCATTGGCACTATGGAGGTGATTGTGAAAATGGGATGATCGGCATGAATAGGAGATGTTTTCAATTGAGGGAGTCATCCACAGGACAACTTCAGAAAAAGTTAAAATAAACTATTGGGATTGGGATTTTTTGGATAGAAACAACAATTTTTTGGATACCCATAGGATCCATGTATGGTATATATGGTAACATTTACCATCAATATATCCCCAATGTTAGCATATATACCAGCACCATGGATCCTATGGGATACGTCTTCCGTGCTCGGAAATGTTGCAGGAACTGATCCAACTACGGTTGCAGATACCCCTGAAATCTCACCAGGGGTCAGCTTTGGATGGCTGTTTTATGTGGTTTTTTGTGGGTAAAACAATGGTTTAATAAACCACCCATGACTGGGAATGGTAAACATACCACCATATACCACCTATAAAAATAGTGATGACTGGGGGATGGTTTAATACTGTTTTACCCATATTCTCTTAGAACGTTAATCTTTTGCCATCAATCATGAGCATATGTTCGCCTACTAAGTAACATAGAACTGCGTCATGTGGCAACTGCCACAAATTTGCTGGGTTTTATGTTGGTTTGTATAGTTTTCATGGTTGTACACAGCCATGAATTTCTTTGGGCATAGCTGGCTGAAAAGAATGGAGGTGAATCATGGCATGGAAACACACGAATTGAAAGTCGGGGCCCGGGGATGGAAAGCCATGGTGACATGATGTTTTTCTGTAGGTTTCTTGGCCTTTTTACTATTTCTAGATGAAACGAATTTCAACAGGAGACACATGGAGTTTCCCACAAAGAATTCATCACAGGTTTTGTCCCCATCCCATTCCAAGGCCACTCAAAGGCACCAGCTGTTGCCATGTGAATATGTACCCAAGGGCAAACCGTATAGCTGTATAGCCATGAAAATAGCCATGAAAATTGCGGGTTGCACCACCAGAACGGGTAGGTGCGAGGGGAAGGGCGAATAGGTGCCATTCCATTGATCAAACGATATAATGGGGTCATTTAATGTGATATTTCATGGGGATTTAGCCGACAACAATGGGAATATAATGGGAATGTAATGGAAAATATGATATACCCAGGATGACAATCAAACATGGATGGAGGTTTAGTTTGCGAATGGAAAATCATCGCTTATTGGTGGATGTTCCAGCTCCGGTTTGATGACACCGGAGGGTCTCTCCATTTGTAAACCCGACAGTCAATCTAGTTGTGTTTTCCCTAGCCTATCATTGACCTATCGTTGTTTTCGCTCCTTCCTGTGGTAGCCAGCAACTTGTCCCAGTCACCAGGAGCCCTTCGTTCCACGGCGAAGCCATGACGACCTCTGCATTTGCTTCCCATGCGACTGCGAGGCGGGAACCAAACGTGCATCCCAGTGGTGGAAAACCGAGGATGGGTTATGGTTATCCAATATGGTCCAAAATGGATCAATAAGTCTATTGAAATACAGTTACATATGAATATAAACATAAATTATATATATATAATATAATATTATATACATGCATACATACATAAGTTCAGAAGTTGGTCAGAGCCACTATAGAGAAACATATGCTAACTGTGCTGATTAAGAAACGGAAACTTAAGGTCCCCAATTAATTGTTAATCGCAGAAATTACTAAGCCCCAGTCAGTCAAGATAAATAAAATTAACTGTCTCAGAATTGGTCTATTGGCAGTTTGAAACCGGACACCCCGATCATAGATCAATTTGGGGGCAAAAACAAGGGTTTGAAACCATGATATGTATATATATATACATACAGTATGACTTTTATTCCAACAAGACCGACATAATGAAACTGGAAGAAAACCATGAGTCACAGTCCAGTCATATGTTGGATATACTCCAGTTGCTTTTTATTTTCAATGGTAGAAAAGATATGATTATCCCCATTGGGGGAGGGGTGGCTGGACCACCGATTGGCCAGTATACATTACTATTATACAATTATATACATGGCTTATTAATCAACTTCTAAGTATCATCCGCAATCCTCACAAAGATTAGGTTTACGGTTTATATCCTAAGAACAAACACTAATATCACCCAGAAACCGTCTGAATAGTTTTTTTTTTTCGGATTTGAAGTGTACCTATTTGATGAAGTTACTGCACATGTTGATGATAGATACCAAGCATATTATCAATACCAGTATATATAATATATATACCAATAGATGATAGATAATAGGTTAGTCATACAATAACAATCTAATGAGATATATAATATATATTTTCACTATATATACGTATATATATATATATACATATCAACTGTTGAGTATCTATTTGACGCCTCCGCCGGAGGCAGATCTCGCTGGAGCAAGCTTTTGGGAGAGATCACAGCAGATTCCAGAGGAACAGTGCGCTGCACCGGACTCCTGGCGCCTCGGCGGCGTTTCAGGTGGAGATGTTGGGCTGGGCCATGGAAGGCCTTCCAGATGGAGGAACATTTCCAGATTCGATCAGGCTAGGGCTGGGGTTTCTTACAAAAGTATAGAATTGAAAGATGAGTTTATAATGCAAAACCCATCTATAAATGGATGATTTGGGGGTACCTCCATTTCAGGAAACCTCCATATGCGGCTTTCTTGTAGATTTTCCCGAACAAAAACAATCCAACGAGGGTTTGACATGGTTTGACAACCAACATTACACAGAGAATCTGCCGTACTGAAATTTGGGGCAGAAATCCATTGCATTGTGGTATCAGATCCAGTGGCTTTGAAAAATCCCGAGTTCTACATATCTTGGCTCAAAACTGAAGCTACTGTATCGACATTTCATACTCTCTGACCAGATGACCAATGGCTGCACCTTCTTTCTCTTCGAAGACATTTGGAGCTTCATTTTTCACCTTGTTCATCCTGTCCCTGGCAGCCGAGCCGACATGTGAGGCCCAGCTTTTAGAAGTTTCGTCCCTCTTGCAGACAAAGGTCCCCAAGAATGTCAGTGATCTGCTGTATGAAGCGGCCGGAAGGAGCTCCGTGGGCTTTAGCCAGGAGATCCACCAGGAAGAACGAGGACAACCAGGACCGCAAGGCAGTGCGGCAGCAGCGGATGCGGTGGCCGTTTTGTTGCTTCTTCTCCAGGTTGCAGCAGTGAGTCCACTGGCATACTATGATTCTTTCTCAGCTTTGTTGGTGATCCTCCTCTACCTCAGTAGCGTGACCTCCGTGAAGTTCTTCGTCAAAGATACCATCAATCACGGCTTTCCCTATCCTGCGTGCATCACCGGCTTTCATATGATCGCCGTTTGCATCACGATCTTTGCATGGGGAGAGCGTCCTCAGTGGAAAGAGGCCATGGCAGTTTTGCCCATTTCCCTGTTGAATAGCGCATCACTTTTGACCAACAACGCTGCTTTGGTTTTTGGAGGCTTAGCCTTCGTCTCCATGATCGATGCCATGGGGCCTTTCGTGACCTTCCTCTTGGAAGTGGCCAAAGGAACACGGCCCTGCTTCCACCTGATGACCATCTTCTCTGTGACCATCGCGAGCGTCGGCTCCGTCCTATGCGTTCGCGGGGAAGCCAGCACAGTGAACGGTATCAGCGCTATGGCCATCACGTTGGCTGGGATCAGCGCCGTCTTGCGCTCGATGCGGGCCGTGTGGCAACACGACCTCCTGACTGACAAGTCCATCACCGTGTCGCCCTTGCAGCTGGTGTTTTGGAATGGCTTTTGGGGAGTTTGGATGACCATGATCTCCATGATGTTCAGCAATGAGCACTTTGAGGGCATTCAACGCCTTAGCACCATGTCAACTTCAGCCAAGCTATTTCTCTTCTTCTCTATCCCCGCGGCGGTCGTGCTAAACATCACCCAGTGGTACGCAGTGAAGAAGCATGGAGCTCTCATGCAGAACATCATTGGGAACCTGAACTTGGTCACGGTGATTGCCATTTCCAAGGCCATTTTGTTCGAGGAGGTGACCTCTACGCAGTACATTGGGACGATCCTCCTGGTTTGTGGCACCATCCTGAACAAAGCAATGGACGTCAGCAGACACAGCTTGGAGAAATGAAGCAGTCAATTCGGTCGAAAAGTCGCGTGAAAAAGTGTTGCAGAATGACATGTGCAGTAAATCTAATTTGCACATATACAATCATATACAACGTGGGGCCCTGGAGATATCGAAGTTGGTTTGTAACTCCACTAACTAGGGTTTGTGGTAGATATATCATGATATATCATGATATATCAGATATATCATGATATATCAGATATATCATGATATATCTATCGTTACTTTGGTTTATAAACCAACTTAAAATTAGGGGGGCCCACTTTGTACAATGTGTATATATATATATATAGAGTAGCATATTAGGAGGTTTTCATAAATGGGGGTACCCATGGGTACCCCAATAGCTGGATGGCTTATAATGGAAGCTCCTTTTTCAAAATGGAAAATTTAGGGGTACCCCCATGACTTAGGAAATCTCCATATGATAATTAAAAACCAAAATACCATTATTGAAGATTCAATAGAAAAGTGAAGATAAATATAATTAGTATATAACTATAGATATAACCTAGTATATCTATAATCTGTATAATGCACTTACCATCTACGACATTTCAACGATGCCCTGGTTCCGTCCCAGGTGTCCTTGCGAAAGGCCTCGCAGTGGCCTGCCGTCTTGGACCTCTTCGCTCACATGCGGCACGTGGATTTGAGGTGGGCACCGACGATTTTTGGGTGGATTTTTCGTCAAAAAATGGGGAAATTCGGGGAAAACCAGGGAAAAACTATGGGACAATTCTGAAAATTCTGGAAAAATGCTGATTTCACCAAACATCTATGATTTCCAATGCAAAGATTCGATCAGTTGGATTTCACCAGGGAAAATGAAACATTTTCGCAGCAGATGTGGGACTGTTGTGGTTTTACCAGCAAATATGGGTGATTTTACGAAAAATGCATTTGACCTGTCAACAAAAACGGGGTTTAACACGCCAAAATGATCCAAAATGGGGATTTAACCTTGGATCAGTACTTTGTCATCTTTGTCACTTTATTCTTTTGGCCATCAATGACGAGAAATTCATCCAACCATATAGATATACGAGCTGAGGCCCACTTATGTTTGCTGGTTTACAAACCCATGAATACTACATAGTTTGTTATAGTTATATCCCCCCAATCAACACAATCGTTCACCAAATGCACCTTCAACTTAGTTGATTTGCCACGCTTAGGACCGTTGTTTTTGTTGGAAGAGGTTCCTACCAGCTTGGTACTTCAGATCAGATGGGTCTGAACATCATACCACCAGGATTGGATCTGAGGGAGAAAGTGAAGTTTTAAAGCATCGAACTTTGGGGTAGCCTAGTTCCATTCAAACCGTTCTGAAGTTCAAAACGTTCCATCTTTTTTGAACAAAGTCCTGAGAGACAGGGTGGACATTGGGACCGGACGGCTAGGAATATTCACTGCTCATGGGTTTCACTTTGGAAAGATTGCGTACATCTTCGGAAGATATACAAAGGTTTCGACACAATCAGCCAGGTTGGATGTGATCTGCTGGAATGCAGCCTTAGCAGCATGCCAACGAGCAACTTGGCGCACGCATTTGCTATGTGGTTAAAACCAGGTGCCTTTTTCTAAGTGGAGGTGAAAAAGCCATTGCACAAGCCACTTATAGCCGTGATTTTTCGGGCACACTGAGCATGACTATTTGGCCATGTTACCAAAGACGGTTTTTGTTCAAGCAACAAATGATGAACATTTGACCAGCAAAAAGGGGCTTTGAGTGAACAAAGGCATGACCATCCAGGATGCAACATGGCCATGGCAAAGAAGAGGGACATCATCTACAGATGGGTAATGTCTATGGCTAATGGCAATGTTAGGTTATGTTGGGCTATGTTGAATTATCAGATGATAATTATTCAATTTGTTAAGCTGCCACAGTGGTAAGCAGTTGTCCACACCGCATGATGTGGGTGTGATTGGTTTTAAATCCCACAACATTCGCTGGCGGATGCTTTATGAATTCAATTCTCTTCAAACAAACACCATCAACTGAACATGATATATAACACTCCGATCCACTATTCTTGAGCTGTGTGGCTATCAGGAACTAGATCGTATTCGTTCCAGTCTAGTTTTCTTGAACTCAAACCATACCATGCCTATTTCAAGCCTCACCTGGTTTTGGAATGAGCAATCTCTGTTGCCTCTAGAACTTCTTGTTTCGAGGTTTTTGTCACCCGCAACCCAGCCAGCTTGATTTGTTTATCCTCACTTTTTGGCCGTTTCCCGGAGTAGAAAAAACATACGCATATCAACTTGGACCACCCAGACGATAAACATCAAAATTACATATCCATCATGTTTACTCCATGACGATTGCCCACGTGTCACTCTACTCACTGGCATGACCCCTGTTCACTAAGCAGATTGTTAGTTCCAAAAAATGGGGTCCTAAGGTCCTTCTGAGAAGAGTGAAATCACCTACTTACTGACTACGCTTAGACCCTCACTGTATGGAAAGGGAAATCCAAAGCCCCAATCCAAAAGCCATAGGTACATTGACCCATCGCTAGAGGTTTTCTCTGATGACCCCAACTGTTTTAAGGTGATATATCGTATAATGCCAACACCGGATTAATAGCACCCCCCCCCAGAAGGTCAGAACTCTACCTTCTAGGTCCCCCCCTTAAGCACCCCTTAATAAACGGCCTCTGAACCATAAAATTTTGGATATGGCTTACGTCAACTGGCTGAAAGCTATGAGGAAAATTGGGAATGAATAGGCAAATCCAAAGAAAAAACATTAGGGACATGGTGGTTGATCAATCAGGGGCACACCCTGATTATTATTAATGGGGGACATGGGCTCATGGGGGGTACCCTTTGGGAGCTGTCCAAACTGATGGATTTTATAAAGAATTTAATTAGAAATCGATCATTTGGGGAATAGTTGTTTTTTGAAATTTTAAATGATCAACTTAAACCTTAAGTATAACAATGATGTTAAACAAAAATGTAAACAACAGTTGGAAATAAATAGAATTGGAAATGAAAAATGTTGGATAAAAACATGGATTTCAGTAGGCCAAAGTGTTTATTAATCCGGGGGGACCACCTGTTTTTAAATTACATTTTTTTGGGGGGGGCAGTGGAGGTTGATTAATCGGGAGGGGTTGATTAATCCTGACTTGACATTATTAATATATGATCTATTTAAGATACGTGAACATATATGAATATGATATATATATATAATTATATAATAGGATATTCATAACATATGTACAGAGGATATGAACCATTCTGATCATTCTGATCATCGTTATTTGAAATGTTTTCTGGCGGCCCAAGTCTCGTCGGATCTGCAGGGCTGTTGGCAATTTGGGATCCAGCTGCTGGAGGACGCGGCAACAATGGGTATCAACGTCATCGAGGTCGTCATGTCATGGGTCATGGTAATGTTTGACTATGGGAATATCATGGGAATATCAAGGAATACTTACTACATACATTACGTCATGGGAATATATCAATTAGTAAAAAAAATGTATGGGAATATATCATCAATGGGAATATCATCCACACTGGGACTCTTGGGATGTAATGGGAATATTGTTTGTGATATATATATATATAGAGCAACCACCAATAGTCGATAGAAAAGTTGGACATCTGGAAATATGAGATAAATATCGAAGTACCATCTATCTTTTTGGACATTGCTAGAACTGATACCATCATTGGGATATAGTGAGAATGTCTCATGAGATATAACTGGAGATTATGCTCTGGTAATGTCGCGCAGGCAGCTATGAAAAATGGCCCATTTAGTTCCATGATTTACCTGTAAAAACTGGGGGCTGTCCATAGCTATGGAAAGTTACCAGAGGATAAACCTCTCTTAAGGAACATCGAATTCATAATATCCAGAAATGTATCATAGGTACCCTCCGGTAGTCAAACGCGGCAGGTTTCATTGCCGCAGGGTATATAAAGTGCAACAACAGGAAGAGGCCAAATGTAGCGAATGGGATGAAATACAAGGAATTGTATATTCCATGAACTGGACATAATGACTGGGATACAATGAATGGGATATAGTGAATGGGATACTGTAATACTGTACCTTCAGGTAATTTAACATAACTATTGAAAATCAAAATTGTTAATAGGTAGATCATCTATAAATGGCAATTTTCCATGGCTATGTAAGACATTACCAGAATGTATAATAAATTACTGTAATGTATATATATATATACATGGGATGCAACAATGCTTTGTGATGACAAGATTTAATTTGGGGCAGTTTTTATCCAAATGAAACTGGTCGTAAGGGAAAAACGATGGCGAGAAGGGCCCAGTTAGATTGCCAAGTTGGTTTAGAAGTACGTCAACTGGGGTTTGCGGGCAGTAGATATATCTATAGTTGTGATGGTTTATCAACCACTATGAACCTCATTAATATTCAGTACATATTCATTAAATATCCCTTAAATATTGATCAAATACATGTCTATTCGTGAAAATTCCATAAAATGACTATTAAACCACTACGTATTGTTAGTTAAGAGTTAAGCAAAAAAAAACATATAGTCTCCATTTCAAGTTAGTTGACGTCCTGTTAATTTGTCTTATTTCAAAATCTTAGTCACACCAACAAACATCACCGGGGAGCCTGTCTGAATTGAAGGGATTTTCCTATCGCTCCAGGAGATGAAACGCTCACAGGTGACACCCAATGCCTCCACGCACAACACGCTGCTGGACCCCGTGCCAGTTTCCGCTGATGTTTTCGCTGGGAAAACTCAGGGAACTCCAATTATTTACCAGTTGGGTGAATTTTTGAAACCATTGATTAAGCCATTATGTTTGAATTCCTGCGGGATGGATGTCCAATAATTATATACCAATATATCTACAGTATATATATATACATACACCATATTCATGTTCTCACACCATAAATGATGACCAACGATCCAGGATTTTCTATAAATAACTCCAGATCTGTGGGCTTTGATGATACAATTATCGTTATATCATGGGTCCTGAAGGCTTGATAAACCTTCAAGGTGAGGCCCATCGTCGTGGATCAACCATCGGAATGTTCACGAGATTTAGCCATCAATAGCATATTGGTCTTATGTGCATCTATTTTAATTATATAATGGGAACTCACTATTGACTAGATTTTTACTTTGGATTTATGATTCAACCAGCAATTATGAAAATTGGTCTTATGACAGAGTTTTGGCTAACACATATTTATGGGGATATGATGGTTGATTATGACATTGGGTTTACTGTACATTGCCTAGTTCATTGGGGAATATGATAAGCGTTATAAGTTCCAGTATAGCTATTTACCAAACAGGATCATGGGATGGTAAAGTTCCAGGGGCCCGCTGACAATCCTGTTTGATGCCCACTCTGCTTGTTTGGGCAGAGCTGTTGTCCTGTTTGGCAATTTTACTTTCATGGGTTTTAAGTGTTGCTTGTTTCGACTATAATCTGTTTTGGGAGGTTGAAACCAACTACGTGGATTCTTCAGGTATTGGCATGCTGCAACAAGGATCCAGAGTTTTTCTATGTACAGCGTCTACTTTCAAATTCCATCATGTTTAATTTTACTTGGGTGTGCGTGACCCAAATAGTGTTTACTAATCCATGTATAAGTGGGGTGTAACGGTATATATATCCCTCCAATCGGGATCATATGATATTTATATATATTTTTCTATATATATATATATATATATGCATATATATATATATACACAGTTCAGT